AGTCAAGCAGCTGTAGCAGTGTTCAAGCTATGCCAATCTGTGGTTATTAAGAACGCGCTGGTCAGAAACCCAATTACTTGACTCATTGTCTTTAACCTTGTCCGCGCATAAACATCATATATGGTTGTGAGTGCTGGATATTGATCGAAAGAGCGCGATCCCGTTAGAAACAGCAGAAATGCGGTTCGATCAAAGGACTATTTGAACGACAAGGCTTGATAAGGTTTGGAGCAGGACGGGTTTTCGTATTGGAAACTGTTCAATTTACGGTTATTCAATTCACCGCATGGCCATGAGCTTCGCACCCCCTAGCATGTTCACACCAAAAAGTCATGTTATTCTCACTGGTTTCTCTGATGATCGAACCGAAGTACAGAACGGAAATTTTTTGCTCAAGGGAATTAGCAATTAATAAAAAAATGTTCAAACTGCTAGGACATCAACCATATGCTTTTATGGTGCTAAGCGAAACTATAATTAATTGCATCACTGCTTCAATATGGCTTCGTCTGTGAATACCTTATTCTACAAAATCTACAAGCCAATGTTTGTCGTATTGTCTGAACGTTGGCCGGGTGCCAGAAATGTTCACAAAATCAAATCTTTTTGCAAAGCCATTTAGAAGGTGGTCAAGCGGCAGATTAAAGACCAGGTCAAACGGTTATATTGAACATCTGATATTGCTCGTTTCGAAATCTAGTCTTCAAAGTTCAGTAGATCCTACTGGACCTGCTAAAAGTCGTTCCTTTGAGCGGCGATTGCGCGGTTGATGGATGGGTCAAAACTCGGTGAAAAAGTTCCCCATCATAATTCTAGGTGGTTGACTTCATCGCTCAGCAATCGTTCCATCGATGGCGTGGACCGGACCTGACAACGCCGTTTGGGAAATGCGTATTAGCGAACGCCAGATTTGTTCTAGTAGGAGAAGAACATGTACGAACGAGCCAGTACGAATGATGAAGGTAACTTTTCCATGTACAGCTTAGTAAATTCGTATGAAAAATGTAGTTGGAAGGTCATGCAGCAGTGCGTCTCATCATCACCTGCAGAAAAATCTCCAGACGGATGATATTCATAGCAGCAGACACGCTAGGATGGCTACCATGAGAGCCTACCCGATAGCTGGGCAATCAAAATTCTAAAGCGTCTTAAAACTGCCATTTTTTCAACCAAAATGGAACCACTGTCCACGAAAGCTAACGAAAGAGCGAATGGTTGTCAAAACGTCCTTGACAGTAAGTTGACATTGAAACACGGTAGATCATGACAACAGCACTGGGCAATGGCCATTCCACACCCTCATTAAACAAATATGCTTGCATGCTCCACAAAATCGTGGATGGACCAAAACTGATCGAGAAGCCTAATTTTCCTCAAGTAAATTCCTCCATCTCCACTGCTGTTTTTGGATTATTCATCGAGCCGTAAGTTTTTGAATCTCTACGTGGAAGCTCAGTTTTCGGTTAGACATTACAGTTACAGAAAGCTATAAAGGATTTCAACGCTAACGGCCATGTGGCTTCTTTATACGTCATTGGACTGCCATCTGACAGATAGGCCATGACAATTTTGTTCATTGTTTTATCTGTGATTTTATGTTTGTTTCAACTTCACCGTTAGTTATATGTTATTTTAACGGCGTATAATTTTCTTTATTTTTACAGACGTTTAAAGAAAGTATTTTTTTGTTGATCTTGTCCAAACATTAAGCTTTCACTTCAGTAACCAGCTCATACTTCTAAAATCACTGCAATACACACTTTGTATTGAACCGTTGCAGTAAACGAAGGCGTTTCAATTATGAAATTTTTCGATACAAAGTTTGTTTGATCCAGCTAAGAAATTTCGAACTCTACCTGCAAAAAGAGCCCTCTTGACCATGTGACACTGTGACGCTCATAACGAGGTAACACTGTTTGGGAGATGCCAGGGAAAATGTTTCATTCGACCGAACATCCCTTAGCCTAGTAAGGGTTTTGGAAGCATAGAAGAAACACTATGGTGCTCAGTACTTTCACACGCTCGCGCATTTCCGTAATATCATGCACAATGCGTAATACAAGCCCAGATACGTCTGTCTGTCTGTTTTTGATAGAGAGAGGATAATGTCTAAATTTTCAAGTTCTTTGCGACAAGATGCTTAAGGTGTGACTGAAGGTAAAATTTTAGTCCAGTATTTCGGCTTCCGAAAAGGAAGCAGTCATCAGCGCAACACAAAATTGTCAACTGCAGAGCTACGCAACGGTGCGATATCTAAACTGAGTCCAGAAGTCCGAATTATGGAAGTCCGAAGAGTAAAGCAAAGATGATAGAAAAAGACACTTCTAAAGAGAAAGGAAATTGAAAAACAATGGTCGGAATCACACAAGAGGCTTCCAGGTTGAACAGATCTCCTGCAAACTGGCGTATTTGTTTTATGGGCTTCGCTAGTTGAGTGAAATACGCAAAGATTCTTTAATAGGCAGCCACAACTTGTTTCTTTCGCAGAAAAGAATTATGACTTCTTAACTTTTGAAATTGTGCATGTATTCCAATAGTACCACAACTTTCGGAACGATCGATTCCCTTTGATGCATCCTTTGCTGTTAATTGATCTTCATTTTGAGGAATCTAAACCGGTTTCTCTGTCACCCTTCGAACAAACCTAACATCAGTTATTACAAACTTAGGTACAAATAAGTAATGTTTCTAGCCGACATGTACAAGGATTATACTTGAAAGCGCTACAGACAGTTTGTGGAAGTTGTGCGGATGCTACTCTTGTTTCGTTCGTCTTGGTTCTTGCGTTGCACGTTTGTGTAATTTTCGCGTTGCAATGACTGTTATATTATAATGAGTTAATTGACCTTTATGCCATATTTTCTCTGGCTCCATCTAAATCAGTGAATTATGATTTTCATCCAAATTTGTTCTAAAATTTTTCAACTAGTTATGATCACGTTTTGCAACTTGCCGTTGCATAATTTTGTTCTTTTATTGAGAATAAATCCATTATTATTTTTAAAATATGCTTCATATAAGCGGTTTATTTTATAATTCACTTTATTCGTATACGTTTGCTCACTTTCTGTTCTTCAAGATATACGGAGGGTGGATATAGTTGAAATTTTACTTGTTGCCATGGCTAAAGTGATTCTTTCGTTTATCAGCATGACAGTTGTGACTATAATTGAATTTTTGCTGAATCTCTCAATTTTTTGGAAATTCGCATATTCTTGGTGTGCCTTTATTGCGGGAGGGGGAGAGTAAAATTATTTTCTGACGTTGATACTGTTGCTAGTCAGCCATTTGCACAATCGTCATGTCCTCGGACCGAGATGTCCGTGGTATTCGGATCTTTACAACTTTTGCTGTCTATAAGGTACGGGTTACTACATCTTACAAGGAAATATTCCTCTTCCAAAGTAGATATGCCCCTGTGTTGTTCCTCCGTGTTGTATACCGGCCTCCTTGTCGACAGGTTACGGCTCCCACACGAGAAGCTCGTATGCTGAACTGAATGGTTTATCTGTCAGTTTGCATAGTAGGACCAACCTCGTTTTTTAATATTCTCTTCATCTGCAGTGCACACGTATTCCCGGCATAGGAGATAATCGCTCGTTGTGAGGTCTCCTCCATTTGATGCTCATCGTGCATTAAGCCAGCGTTGTATGCAGTTTAGTCTTCGTTAGACCAACTGTTTCTATGAGATACAATAAAATTGGTGAGTTTCTATGAAATGCAATAGAGACATATTTTTTGGGAAGACTAATTCTTTTCTCAGTCCATATATTGAATTGGTTAACAAAAGCGCTTCAAGCGAGGACTATCTTCCTATTTAATTCTGATTGGTTGGTCCCATCATTGGAGATGATTGAGCCGAGATATTTGCACTGGTCGATTAATTTAATAGCTTCCTCTCCGTTTCATTAGTAGATCAGCCGTTTCTTGTATCTTTAGACTCTCGGTGTTACGGTAGAGGCCGACTCTCGAAGCTGTTAGATGACAAAGACTGCTTTCCGCAGTACTCACAAGGAAATATCTGGCATCTAGCCGGATGTATAACATCTTGATATGATATCTTCGTCTTTTTCAGGATCAGTACTGTCAGAGAAGAAAGTCAGAAGCCACGCTGAATAACAAAAGCAAAAGCACGTTCCTTCGGCGAACACCGCACTTAATAGGGGACCATTCAGCTCTGCTTCGACTTTGATAAAAGATATGGTTCCTTCATATATCTCTTCGAGAACGGAAACGCTGTGTTCAGGTATCAGTAACATTTTAAGTTTCTCATCTAATCAAGGTTTAAAGTCAACTGGCAAACCAGGCAACTGGATTCTTCGGCATTACTCAAATGATCCTACATTAAATGAAAGTTTGGCCAGGGTCAGGATGCCTCGTCTTGAAGCGTGCCCAGTTTCGGCTGAGTCTTCCGTCAACTACTTGCTTCAGCCTTTCCATGATAATCCAGGAGAACAATTTCCCGGGAGTTGATGGTATAGTAATACCACAATAATTAGAGCACTGGGTTGTCTATGCGTCTTTAAATATATGAACAATTACTTCACACTTCCATTTTCCACGGAAACGTTTCGAGGTATACCTTTTATAAATTACAATATGATGTTCTACCGTTCCTCATTCGCCAGGTATAATTTACTCCGGGGATTTGATTTGATCCACATAGCAGGTCTTCTTCACCTCGAGATATAGCGATGTTTATTTGCATATCTAGTGTTTACGCTATCCTTTAATGTCTGTAGGTTGGGAGGGTGGGCAAAAGGAAATGATCTTGTCAGCCCTTCTCAAAACTTTTTTTTCATACATATAGTTTTCTTTCACATTTGGATACGAGCAGTTATTTTATCTTTTTCTTGCCAAAGTATAAACTCAAATAAATGATGTTCAGCGCAAGACCGAACACCTACTCTGACGTAGTTGTTTTAGGTTTATAACGCGTTGTTTTAGAGTTAGTTGGTGGGTTGTTGGTTGCCGTTGTTTGATGTCCACACTGTTGAAGTATGTGGCCAGCGTTTTGGGTAGTGTCTCGGACGTACGCTCCATACATCATGTTCCCGGTCGCCTTTGCTCTTGGCTTCATTGGTTACAACGTCGAAAAACGATGGCGTCGTGAACGAGACAAATTAGAGTACCTGAACACATCCGTCAAGGAACAACGCATGGAGCGAATAATGAGCGAAACCAGTGCCTCCGATCCTCTGAAAGTGCCCAGCCTTAAGGAAAAACTTTACGTGCCCGAATCTAGTCTCGAAAGAAACCTACCAGCTGCCGATGGCAAATTCTGGTGATAGAAAATGTCGTCATGTCGCCATATGATCAACCTCACGTTTTGCAGCCGTCTTGTTGTGGTCTTACCTTAAATGCAAGCCGATGCTGTTTCTCGCTATTCACCGTTAGTTTTTGTAAAGTACGAGTAAGACACTAAAGTATTTCAAGCTTAAATTTTAATAGTAAAATATCCCACATAACTAATAGCAAATCTTGATATTCACATAATCACAGAAATTTGACCACAACTTCACCGTGCCAATACACGAGTTCCATTCGTGACAAAAATTACTGGTCGATTTTGGAGGGCGCAGTCAGCTTTTGGCAAAATTTGTAACAACACCCAAAAAGAAAATTTTTGTCACGTCACGTTTTTGTTATCGACATTTTTTTTACTCTACCATATAAATAAATTATAGATTTGACACGGCATGGTAGAACTACGATGGCTGAAGATATTGAGCAGTTATTAAGATTAAACTAAAAAATTACTGTAACTTTGCTTACGTTACTGTCGCTCAGTCAGTAACGTTACACCTCGACGAAAAAGTGTTGTTAATGTTTATTGCAGCTGAAGTTAAAAGGAGAATCTAAAAATCGACTAACTGAGTCTTTAATTCGAAATCGAAAAATGAACTACATTCACTGTGAGGCGAGAAATCATGAACTTGTCCGAAACGTGTTCAAGTACAAGCAGCAAGTTCTGTCTCGTTCGAACAAAACCGTGATTCATTTCTTCAGCGACTCTAAGATTAGTTGCTATATGATGAATG